ATTTTACAATTATAAATATTGGATTAGTGCAATTCCAACTATAATACAAGAGACGAACAAAAAATGTGCAGCTATTAGAGATTTGCTACGGAGATTTAATAAAACCTGAAAACGGTTGTGATATTTATTCCATTAGAATTTATTGGAAATCAATTTTTTTTATTGATTTTAAATTTATTGAAAATCAATAAACATTATGCTACATTATATTGTTAGATTTCCTTGTTAATGCGTAAGGAACATGACCAGCTAAAGATTTTTCTATACAATGTTCTATAATTTAAATTGCACTTTATTATAAAATATTAATTATTAATAAAAAAAATTTTACTTATCAGTCAAAAACTTCTTACTCTTTATCATTTAATAATGTATAATGATAGGAAAGATGAAAATTTGTGACAAAAATTATATCATTAAATTAGTTGGTGTATATAATATTATAAGTTTAAAAAAATAAAATAATTAATTATTAAATAATATAAAATTTATTTTTTAATATTTTAAATAAGGTAATTTATGCTACGTTATTAGTTCTAAATTTTGTTCCTAAACTTTAGTCATATTTATCATTATTCTTTTTTTTTTTTATCAAGTTTACAAGGTGGGAATCGAACCCACCATGGGGGAAGGGGGAAATGCACTGCAAGGCAGCCCTAAGGTCGCTTGGCTGGAAGGGTCAAGTGCATTTATCATTATTCTTTAATAATTAATATTGAATACCAAACTATAAGATATAGATTACTAAATAGAGCGAGAGCTCTCAATGTTGAACAACTTATTTCTATTTAATAATAATTTTGATATAGTTTAATACAATTTTAATGTACAATATTTTTTTATTAATTTTTTAATTTAATATAATCCTACCACATCCAAAACACTTTTTTTTTTTTAACGTTAGGGTGAGACTCTAATTTTACATTACCAAATCATAATATGAGAAGTCCTTTAAAAGAATAAGGTGATCATTAAGCCACAAAGATATCCTCCCTCTAAAACACATTTTTATTTATGAAAGAACAATAATAAATGAGATTAAAATTTAAAATTAATAACATAATATAAGTTATTTCATTTAAAATATTAAAAAATAAATTTTATAGTATTTAATAATTAATTTTTTTAATTCATAATATTATATATTAATTAATTTAATAAAACAACCCCTAATTGTCAATATTAAATTATATTATTAATTTAAAATTTTTCTTCTTCTACCATTAAAATTAGGCTAAATTCAAAAATTCATCTATTAACTTTCAGTTTAATTTCAGTTTTATCTATTATCTTTAAATTGTTTCAATTCTATTTATTATCTTTGAATTGTTTCAATTCTATCTATTATCTTTCACATATATTTCAATTTCATCTAGGCAGTTAAAGTTAACAGAAATCTTAACGGAAATCTTTTTAAATTTAGTACTCTAACTATGTTTCTTTTAATCTTTTAGTCCTTAAATTTATATTCACAGTAAAAATAATTTTTATTCTTATTTTGCTAAATGTGTTTTTCAGAAAATTATTTTACAAAGCAGACTGCATTCAGTCCACCCTATAAAATTATTTAAATACCCTTAATTCTATTTTTGTATTATTTTTCATAAACATTTAAATAATTTTATAAAACAGATTGTACACAATCTGTCTTATAAAACAGACTTATCTGTGAAATTTTTTATTCTAAACTTACTAAATTTCTTTGTTTAAATTACAATCTATCTCTATAAATTATTTTTTGATTCATCATATTTTATTAGGATTTAAGTGTCACTTTTTTAAAACTCAAAGGAGTTCTCTTTCCTCAAATCTAATGGGCAATCTAACGTTATCTTTGTACAATAGACTAATTTGAAATATTCTTCAAAGTTTTTAGATCATTTAAAAGCGAAACAAACTTTCTAAATTAAAATGAAATTAAACTGAAAATTAGTAGATGATTTTTTGAATTAAACCTTAAAATTATTAAAGAATAACAACCCTTACAACCCGTGAGAGGACACTCGTTTCCTTTCCACTTTCTTTTTTCGGAAACATACTTTTTCTTTTCTTTTCTTTTCTTTTCTTTTTTTTGGTAAACAGAGTAACAGACACTCGTTTCCACTTTCCACCATTTTATATTGGCTTTTTATCCCCCAAAAGAAACAATCATTTTATATTGGTTTGGATTTACTGATTTAGCCTGTTTTGCATTGTCAACTCAACTAGATCGCGTAGCAACGTCGTGAAAATCTCTTGCGCGTGGGATAAATCTCACAGTCTAAAGTTTTACCGTGTGGAGGTCGCCACGTCGGTGATCCGGAGTCTTACAAATCCGACGGCGGAGAAACATAAAAATATAAACGGCGGTTGCTTCCTCTTTTCCCTGTATTATCAACAAAGATTCATACATCTACAAAAAAAACCATCGTCTGCCTGTTGGCCTACAAACTCAATTCTTTCGTCCCCTGCTGCTGATGGGTTCCCTTTCGTTTCCCATCAGCAGCTACAATTATTATACATGTGGAGTCAAAATTGGGTCGAGACAACATCCTCGTGGCATGTTCAAGATTTCAAGCTCCTTCGAACCAGGGATTTGTTGACGATGGCTGTCATTCTATGGATGATATCTTCAAAAGACGGTCGTTGTCCTGGGTCACTGCTCATTTTGGAAAGGAACGCAAGTTTGTTCAGGTTTTTGCTAATTAACCCACCAATTTCATTGGATAAAAAGCATATAGGAAATTATGTACCTCCGCCAGCAATCGTGGATGATGGAGGCGACGTGAGGGTCAAGACCCTCTGGTAGTTCTAATCTTCTGTCCATGAAGCCTACCACTCCGACAACCTGTAAAATTGAACTTCAGGAAACTTTTGGATGTTTTAATGTTCACGTGTGTTCGTGAGAAAAGAAAGAAACCTGTAATGAGTTCAGATTGTTCCAGGGAATTGAGACAGTCATTAGTTCCCACAATATAACGCCAAAACTGAAGACATCAGACCTGTCCAGGGAGAAAGGGAAGATCAAATATTTACGATTTCAAAAAAGAACTGTGGGGAAACAGGGCGGGATGGAAAATTCAGGCTTAGTTTCAGGAATTAGGAATTACTTCTCATTTGAAGGTTCATTCCTAAGAACTTCCGGGGCCATCCATTGAGGCTGCAAGCAGAAAATTATGAAATTTCAGGCTTCTGCTTTTAATTTGACAGCATAAAAGTTGAAAAGAGGAAGGAATCATTACAGTTCCTCTTCCGGATTTTGCAGTTATGAAGGTTGCATTTTTCCATCTTGATAAGCCAAAGTCCCCAACCTGAGGAGATAAACGAACTGGATAAGCAATTTATGAGCAGCTTGAATTTATCAAAGGTACCAACCTCCATGATGGATTACCTTGACAGTCCAGTTTCTATCAACAAGCAAGTTAGAAGACTTGAGGTCCCTATGCACTATAGGTGGATTCCTATGGTGCAAATAATTCATGCCTCTAGCCTACAGAGGAAGGGAAAGGTTAGATCTTATTTGATCGCTAACAACGCGAGGGAGAGGCAGAGAACTCACCACATCAAGGGCCATTCTTAGGCGCCTTCTATTGTCCAGAACCTGATTATTCTTGTGAAGTGTTTTGAAAAGACTTCCCCTGATCATTGACGAATTAAAAAATCAGGGTGAGCAGCATAACCTCTTTATGAATTCTATAGTAGTATGTTTTGGTTTGGATGGTAACAATTCTATTACCTAGGCAGGAACTCCGTGACAATGGCAAGTCGTTCTGGTGAATATACTGCTCCCATGAACAACAGTACATTTGGATGCCTCAGTTTCTTCATTATATCAATCTAAGCATGTAAAAAAGAACTCAATATCTGAAAGTTTCCTTCGCAAATGCAACAAATATCACGTACATGCTTTCAAATACCTCTTTTTTGTAGTCTTCTAATGTTCCTTCACTATAGCCATTCCCAAAAAAGACTTTAACTGCAACATCCTGGATGATGGAAACAAGTTTTATACCAGTCAATCCATCTTCTTTTATGTTCTTTCTTGAGACAACAATATCAAGTGATACTAAATGAGAAAACTTACTGATCCATTCCAAATTCCACGATAAACAACAGCATAAGAACCTGCAAAGCATAAGTAAAAATAATAATTTTGATTTGCCCCTAGAAGTTAAATGACAAACAGCAAAGACAAAACTGTTTCACTTCTTGCAGGAGCTATTGCATCAATAATATTGTCTACCTTCATCTAAAGACTATATCAAGTGCTTGGTGGTGGACATATTCCATCCATTAAAAATTATTGAAGCATGTTTCCAAAAGCTAGCACACATGCACATGAATTTTCAAAACAATAACATAATGTTTACCTTCTCCAATCTCCGCCCCTAAAAGGAGGTCCTCCCAATGAATCCCACAATCAGGAAATTTTTGGATTTCATCCTCCACCTCCATGCATTCCAAATTTGGTACCTCTAGCACCACTTCAGTGTCATTCCATAGGCTCCACAATACTGGCATAGAATCCCCAGTTTTAGCTGACCTAGAATATCCATTGCACTCTGTTGAAGATGATACAACAGAATTCTCTTTAAAAGACCTATGAGTTGCATGTTGTGCAACATGCGAAATTGAAGTCTTAGCTGCACAGTGAGAAGTGGAGTGGTGTGAAGGTGATGTCTTTGAACCTCTGTGAGAATCAGACTCATTCATCATGCTAATCCTTAATAATGTGTCACTTGCACTATTTTTCCCAACACTGTCATCATTTTCTTCTCCACAGTTGTTGGTTTCTCTGATGTGCAGTTTTGCCAAGATCCGTGCTGCCTGCAGTCCTCCCAAATTAGCAATTATCAACAAAAGCTGGAAGCTATTTTGTGTGAGTTTGCAAATAGTTGATTCCATCAACTAGTAACAAAATAATTCTTACAAATTTTGAATGTTGAGAAGCATTATCATCCTTTCTTGAGCTCCTCCTTCCAGCTGTGCTTCTATGGTCATGGAAATTGGAATTTGATTTACCTTCCTAGCATGATAAAAGGGACAAATAGGAAAAGAATAAGTTAGAGTTCTGCTTGACTAGCTATAACATAAATAGTCGACTAACTCAACAAAACAGTGAACATAGGCTTATCTTACCACTTTATTGAACCTCTCTAAATTATCTTCCTTGGTTTTTGTAGCACCATTCTCATCCCTTGAACTCATACATGAATTATATGCATCATCTCGTTGTTTCTTTGGTAGAAGCTTTGAGGCCTGAGAGGTTTAATAATGAATTACCAACTGCTTATCAGAAACTAATGAAAATGAATTTACTTAGGAAAAGCACAGTAAATTGGAAAAATTAATCTGCAGCAACGTTATACATATGCACCAGATTAGAGACAGATGATGCAATCCGTGGTCGTGGCGGGTGCCACTGAATCTTTTTTGGGTTAGATCCATGTAGTTTGCTGTGAGCCTGATATGTTCTAATGTTATCTGAATTCACCATATTAAATATTGCCGCATCACTTGAAACAGTGATAAAACCAGTGAGTTCACCGTCCTCATGTAATGGGCTTTTGCTCACCATGGCCATAAATATTTCACCTGACCTCTTCTTGAAAGGGAACTGACCTGACCATGATTGTCCGGACCTCAACCTCTCCATAATTTTATTTAGGGGTTCATGGTATTCTTCAGCTATAATAAGCTTAGTTGCTCTTAGTCCAATAACCTCCTGGGACCTCCATCCATAGAGCTTTTCAGCAGAACGATTCCTGTGATGGGAACATAAACTTTTTAGCTGGAAAACTTGAAAGTGACATATGCAATGAACATTGTACCCAAAAAAAAAAAAATGTAATGAACATGTGAAAAAGAAAAAAGTTTGGCGGGCGAGAAAGAACAATCTTCCATTAGGACTATATTCACTCTCAAATCTGAACACAGCAATTCATCTGAACATCAATATGAACCACTCATTTTCGAGATGAAGTGAAAAGAACTATCTTAATTACTAGCATTTTCATTACTTAATAATATAATCCATTGGCAAAGAAACAATTAAACAGAATACACAAAAAAATCAATAGTTAGTCATTAATTAATTTTATTTTTAATCCCAATTGGTCAATTCTCTTAACTCCAAAATATAGAAAAAGCTAATGCATTTATGAGGAACTTAACTAAATTCTTGGAAATTACTCAATAACCAGAAATTTTTAAGACATTGAACAAAACATCTGTTCTCTACCTTTGACTTTAAAACATACTTTGCGCTTGTCCTCACGAGATTACTTTGTCCAAAAGTAATTATGTTTGACTTTTTTAACTTCATTTTGAATTTATAAAAACTAAACTTTGACACTAAACATTATTACCATAATTAACCCAGAGGAAAAAAAAAAAGCAGCCCTTTTAGTTCAACTAATAGCGAATCGTTTTCAAACTTTGAATTAATTAATCAGTTCTATTAAGCTTTTTTTTTTTTTTTCATCTACAGAAAATCAAATAATATCCGAAACTAAGGAAAAGTGGAACTCAGAAAGTATCTCATTAAGGAAAACATATTTACATACCAGTATATGATCTCTCCTGATGAAGCTGAGCAGACATGAATAGCGTGTCCAATGGATTCCAACATGCTCCGGTAAGGAGTCCCCGCCAAAAAGAATCCGGTGACCAGTCCGCATCCAGAATCCGACATCTCCTCACCAGAATCATTCCTCACTTCAGCTTTTCTCTTCTTCTGCTCTGCCTTAAGTTCATCAAACTCCTCCCTTAGCCTCGCCTGATTCGCTTCCAGACTCTGGCACCGATCCACCAGAACTTTGTACAGACTCGCCCCTGACTCGCCTCCCACCATTCAAAACACTGGCCGGTAACTCGCCGGGGGATTCCAAGTACCTGACCCTGCCTCTCTTCTATAATAATACTAGTTTATTATTCTCCAAGGTGGTTGCTTTGCCTTTTTGGTGTGCATATGTTGTTTGCGGTGGCAGCAAATTATATATATATAAAAATCTACATCCAAAAAGAGAAGTTTTGTATTAAATAAAGCGTTTTTTTATCCTATACTCTAAATACAAATTAAAAATTTTTTAAAAATAAAAAATAATATTTAATTTATTAATTATTTAATTAAATTTATTTATAATTTATTTATGTGACATTAATTTTAAAATGAGTGTATATTTTTATATTTTTTATATAAATTTATTTAAAAAATATTATATATTAACGTATATTCTTAAGTTATAAATTAAAAAAAAATTTAAATTATAATATTTATTTTTTTTACTTCATACAGGTATCGTGGGTACAAGGGACATCGCCACGTGTACCAGCCGGCATGGGGAAGCAATCACGTGCGGGCAGGTGTACCATTGAGGGAGCAAACGGCGAATGAATAAGCGGTTTCGATATTTTTTAGAGAAGCGGAGTTTGCTATTGGTTAAGGAAACGGGCAGTAATTTTTGTTGTCGTTATTACGAAATTAACCCCCTGATTTTGATGGGATTAATTACGTCACCATGCCACTCGCCGCCATTGGTCTGAACGTAAACAAGTGGCTGCGGCTTGCGGGGTTAGGTTGCTTGCACTCAACTTTATTTCGAGGTACTTGGAGTTGCTGACGTGGCAAAAGGTCAAAATCGGGAGAAATGTTTAGATGTATGTGGACCATGTCATACTTATGTTTTCTTGGTTGGATTAGTATCTAAATTAATTTAAATTTTTTAATATAAAGTTAAAATTAAAATTTTAAATTTTTATAATATTAAAGTAACTAATCATTTGCAC